TGCAAAAAAAAAAAAAAAAAAAAAAAGGGACATTGTATTCCAGTTGTTGCATGGTTGCACAATGTTTACGTGGTCAGGATCGTAGCGAGGATTGTTGCGTGGTTGGAGTCAATGATCTGTGCACACGCAATTGCGTCGCCGTGCAAGCCAGCCACTTTCGAATGCCTTTGCGCTTCGCGTTGCCTCGTCCGGCGACCTAATCGCGGCTCTGTTCGCCTGCTAGTGCGTTTGCTCGTTGCTTCTCGCTTCGTTGCCCCGAAGACAATCGGCGAAAATATGAAAAACGAGTGGTTGCGCGAAATTGCGTGCAACGTTTCGACGATCGCGCGCTATCTCGCGGAGAAATGCTTCTCACGTGTCGCTGTACCACTTGTGCAACTTATGACTTTCGGTAGGAGAACAAATGGAGCCTGATTGTCTGGCGAGGAATCCCGCGGCTGCTCCAGTCGCACGTGCGAGATGCAGCCGAGCACAATGCTTCGGCCATAGCCGGCGATCTCGATTTTATTTAGCTAAACTCCGTGTCGGCTAGTAAAATCGAAATTTGTATTTCGAACGAGGGAATGAATTAGAAAGTACTTAGAAGGAGGCAGAACGAAATCGACGATAAGCCACGCGATATTCAGTAATCAGAAAAGGAAACGTGGCGCATTAATTATCGAGGCTGAACCGGCGTGCGTTGCGTTGCTTCAGTTTCCTATAATATTGGTTACGCTAGTCGCCGACGATGTCTTCCTCAATTATTCCCGAGCTCATTACCCGTGATTGGGCCCGTGTAATACCGACCCGAGTAAAAGTGAGAACGCCGGCGAATCTGCCCGGTGAAATTGTTTCGGATACCTGCAGCAACCTCGCTCCTCCGTTAATTTTGTCCAACGAGAGACTTTTTAAACAAACTTCGTTTCCCCGTCGGCTTACCTAACTTTGTCTCACTTTTTACACCGGCGTGGAACGAGAGGAAATTTCGCCGACAAATTAACCGGCACGAATTCTAAAAGCTCGCGAAGCCAATCTCTACGGAGTAAGTCGATACTTTTCGAAGGAAAAATTGTACAAAGCGAGAGAAACGTCACATAAACTTGCAAATTTCACTTGTTTACCGTGATCGCCGACACTGTTTTTCTTCCAACACCGAGACGTTCTAAACTGATCGAAGCACAGGTGACTAAACAACGGACCGCGAGGTACCGACGTCCGCGAAATGGTTCGAGCACTTTGCCAAAAACGCGACGAGCTGTTCGAGAAACGGAGAGAAGAAAGGAGATGAAACGACGATAAAACTGGACGAAACGACGTCGAGCCGATCTCGATCGATCTCTCGATGTTAAACTCGTATGAACGCGGGCTGAACGGTTCTGCGAACACAATCGGTTTTTACCATCGACAGGCCAAGCCGCTTCTGCAACTCGCCACGGTGGCTAGTTAGAGAATCGCTTCCCGTTCGCGGCGGCCGCAGCCTATATCCAGCTAGCTCCACGTAGGCGTACGCGTATTTAGCGCGTAATTTATATAAGAAGAGAGGCACGCTTGGTTCCACCCCAAAGCACTTCGATCCACTGGCGCCTGCACTTCTTCTTTCGCCCGTTTCCATATGAAAGTGGGCGAAAATATCCCCTGGAACGTCTTTGCTTTCGAAATATTTCAGCCTGCCCACGTAGCCGCGCGTTAGATCGTCTTGGATCGTTCGTCGAAAGGGAAACTAGAGGAACGGTTTCGCGGAGACACGTAGCCAGGATTGGCCAATTACCTGCTGGTTTCATTAAAAAACCGCATACGCCACTGTGCATGCACAGCAATTGTTGCGGAGAAGAGGCGTATAACTTCCAGTGTTGCATCGAACATCCTCGCGTCCGGATCGCGGAACTCGATACCTCGTCGTGGAAGCAACGAGTTTCCTTTTGTCGTCTCTTTTGGCAGCCCTGAAGGGTGCACAGGACTGTCCTCTTCGTCCCGTTGCGTCGTACACGCTCGTCAGAGTCCCTCTCGTGTTCCGTGCCAGTGGTCCCGTGTAGCTTCCGTTTGACCCCGTTTCGACGATCGGTTTTTCCGAGCAAGTAGCACGGATCAAGGAAAGCCCCAGCGTGGAAAGCAGGATTTTTCATGAGGTTTTCGGGCTTCGTTCGTAGCGGATGCGCGACGCACCGAGTGAATACTTGGCGGTGTTTATCGTGGAATACGCTGGAACGTGTTTGTACGTGAAACTAGCTTGTGAAACGAGTCGAAGGACAGCGGGATCGAGAAGAGGAGGGACGTGGAGAAAGAGACGTCTGTCGCGGAGGAGTCGCGCTTGCAAATAGAAAACTCTTGGGACTGTTGATGCCAAAGAATGGAGTTTCGACCGTTGCTTTGGGAAAAGGACGATTTAATACGTCAGGGAAGAACAGTGTGATCTGATAAGCTAACCGAGGAGGATTTAATTAAGACAGGCTTAACGGAGAAGCATGACGCTTAGTGGGTGAACGATCGAGCGAGTAAACAGGCTTAGGCTATTTAAATGACCAAAGTGACGAGTGTATTTAGGATTTGAGAGGCTGACAGTCGGTGAACTACGTGTACGTATTCCCAAAACGTCCCACTGAGTGACCGTTAACGCATTCTATGCGAGCAGCACGGATTTTTCGAGACTGGTGACCCAATGTGCCCAATAGTAATCGTCTCAGTGGCCTCCTAACTTCTTTAAACTGAATTGAAAATGCGTGCCGGTATTGTGCCAGACGATTGTCTCAAATCTCGACCGAACGTGTCCAGGTTCTTAAACGACCTGAACTTCTGACCATTCGAGCTGTCCGATGATCGCTTAAACGGGACATCTTTCCATGATAAATGTCCCATCCGATAGTTCGAAACGTCTTCCTTTCTCGGCGATCAGCCTATTATAATGATAAAGACGGAGACGAAGTGCAAGGATACATGGTAATTCGAAAGGACGCTTGTTCGAAGAAGACACGCGAATTCTTGCGACGATGCTGACACAGAATGAAAGCAAGGTCACTGACGTCTGCTTTTGACTAGAAGACATTCTTCAGGGACGACTTTGCGGCCGGGTCATGTTTGCGCAAGCTTTCTGCAAATAGAAAGAACACCGACGTCCAATGGATAGGGGTCTAACTGTCTGTTAACCTTGAACCTTGGCGCACTTTGCATTTCCTCGCGATAAAGGGAGACGACTCCAAGGAGACGCAATTTATCGACGCGATTCGACATCGCTTGAGGAACGCGCAGATGATAGAGACAAATTTGGAAAAATGTTACAACTAGACTATGTTACTTGATGCTTAGTTTCTGGTTAGACGAGGAACTGGTACCTAACAAAACTCGCATGATCAGAACCGATAACAAGGTCAGATCCAAGCTAATTCCCGGTACCCGGTGTTAATTGGTGTTAAATGAAACTGGCACGCGTCGAAACCCCCGGTACCTTTGCTGAATTACGTGCTTCGTGGTCTGTTTGTGATTTAATTAACGTTCCCGTTATTGCAGTTCATAAAAATGTCTTCAACGCAACATTCCGTCGTTCCTGGAATATTTCTAACCGCGAGCCTAAACAGTCCGATCGTCCATTTCGAACGTTTTACGAGCCTCTACCACTCCTCGGGATAGAAAGTGGAAAACTGGATGACTCACGAAACCTCTCCACGTATCAAATGACTTTAAACGTGCCTGGACGTAACTCGCGTACATCGAGTGCGTGTCGTCCGCACGACTGCCGGGGTCAAACGAATTCGACGATGTCGATCGAGATCGGCTCTTGAACGAGCAACGACGAGGCGACTGCGATTCGCCTTCTTCGGGATTTCGCGCGGTCAGCATCGAAGAAAGTCAATAATGTCGATTAAAATCGAACGCTGACCGGTATACACAACATGGAGTCCGCGATAGCGTGTAGCAAGAAAGCCGAGCGCAGGTCTACGCGATCGTCGACCTCGAAGAATCGGTTTTCGTCACGAAACACGCGCTCGGAAGCTTTCTACGCCGGCGTGGAACCGTTATCCGTTCGACGCGCATTGCATAATTCCACCGGCCCAGACCCAGATACAAATTCCGCTCCAAATTCCAGCGGATCGACGGAACGCGTTAGAAGGCATCATACTTCCGGTCGTCCGCGGAACCTGGACCAGAGCATCGGGCCGGAACATAGCCCGAAATCCGGCAAACAACCCAGCCAGGAAACGTATCATACCGTTCCTCGAGACGTCGCGGTGTCTCGAAGAGAGATCCTGCGAAGATGCAGCAAGGAGAAGGAAAGCCCGTCGAAAATGTCCGACGGTTCCCGTCATCGTTGGAAACGAACCGTGGACGTAGACGATAAGGATCAGCAAGAGAGACCTAGAACCCTACCTTCCATCGCTAAGAGATCGCACAAAGATCCCGGAAAGATCGCGCAGTCGACTCTGGGTTACAGAAAGATCTCTAGACAGGACATATTACGCAGACGAGCGAGCGTGGACGTGCCAGTCGGCATCTCTCGCGGAAGAGGCCACGGAGAGGAGAAGGTAGAAAGTTCAGAGGTGAAAGGTGCCACCGCGAAGTCCTCCTCCAGTTTCCCGAAGAATGTCCCGAGGCCGAGAAACCCTGGGTGGGGCAAAGAGGACGAGAGAGAGTCCAGGTCAGTCTGTGATTTCCTGGCAGTCACCAGCAAGCTGCAGGACATTACCCGCGGCCTTGTACCGAGACCGTCGACCTTGCCCAAGATAATTCACGCGTCGAGATCGGCCAGAATCGGTGAGGATTGGGCCAGCCCTAGGCTGGCCAAGGATGCGGTGAGGAAGGAGCCGCCTGTTTACGGGAGAATACGCAGAAGAAAGACCTCGTTGCCGTCCAACGCGGGTACCATCAGGAGTTCCTTGCTGTCACTGAACACGTTGACCAGGTATCCGAAACCTGGCAGCATACACGTGAGAGAAAGGGCTGTGGACGTGGAGTTTCGAACGACTACGAGACATCTACGTGATCCCGTACCTGACACGCCGTACTATTCAGCGACGTTACCTATCGTTGACATGAGAACGAATTCCCAGAGAAATGCGATTTACGCGAAAGTATCTCGAAAAACGTCGAAGGGCCTTCAGAGCCACGATAACAAGACTGATTCGAAAGATGGTGCTGACGGTAGGATCGAGGCTGAGTTAGACTTTGGTCACAGGACCATGTCGCGCAGGAGGATCATCGAGAACACCAGGGACAGCTACGGGGAACAGAGCAGCTCAAAAACCGAAGACTCTGTCGAAATTCAAACAGAATTTCACTCAGAAAGTCATCAGTCGTATCAGAGCAGGGACTTCGACGTATATGGGAGGCAGGAGCTGAACGAGATCCATGCTGATCGATCGAAAGAGACGGACACGGCTGCGACTGGTGGTGACAGACGGGATTCTCGTTCGGAAAGCATCTGGACCAGGTCCAGGGATGCGGCTAAGAGCAGATCGAAGTCTCAAAGCAGGCTGATCGAAAACTTTCGCTCGACTCAACGAGAGATCGGTGCAGCGACCAGGTTGGCGACCACTCTTCCCAGTTATGTGAAAAGTTCGAGAAAGTGTTCGACCGAAAGCCCGCCAGGGATCGGCTGTCAAGGAAAATTGCCCAAGGAATCGGGTATCTCGTCGAAGCAGAGCAAAGAGAGATCCAACTACGTGAAAAAGTCTGCCACCAGTCATGTTAGGGCCTTTAGTGACGCTAATAGCGGCCGATCCAACTCGCCGGTCACGACATCCTCGATTTTTGGATTCTGCACCGGTAAAAGGAAAATTCTATCTTCGTCCAACGGTGCAACGAAGGCTGAAAGTGTCTCGACGTACCCAACGTGGAACGTGGAAACGGTTAGCATCGCCTGGAATCGTTCTGACAGAAAAATTTACACCATAATTGCACGTCCTCGTTAATTCTTTCCCGAAATGGGCATACAGAGAATTCCCGAGATTCTGAATCCGATTCTTAGGATTCTATTTCACCGAATAATCCGTACGCGATCGTGTACGTGGAATTTCTTGGTGGTGCTCGTGAAGAAACTTCGTAATATTTCTATCCCCTTTCTCGAAGCAATTCTTGAGATATTCGAGAGTGCTTTGGTCCCCGGTTATTACCAGAATCGTTGAAACTTTATGGATTAAATACCGCGGCAAAGTGTCTACAAAGTATATCCGTAACAAGGAAACGATCTCCATCATGCTTCCCCACGTTGCTTAACGCAATTTACCGCGTTTAATTTCCCTCGTGGCTTTCCAGGCAAATTTCATTAGAGAACTGTGCTTTTGAATCACGTCATTTTATCATCTCGACTCGCGTGTCACGAAAATATCTCTTTTCCAGGGTGAATTGGTGTGGTTCGACCCTGGTGTCGGCCACGTGTTGCCAGGAGAGGTTCTAGAATATCACAGGGCTGCCAACGTTCTCTCGGTGCAGGCAGTGATCGCTGGAAAGGTATGAAATTAATTTACATTTCCACAGTTGTAAAAACCTCTGGCTGAATGAACGTCGTCGAAACGGAATGACGACTGGAAAGGGGACAGCTCGAAGCGCAAATTATTCGCGATTCAAACGATCAACCGGATAAGTTATGCAAGATCTGTGACACAACCTCGATTATGATGCATGAGGCAGAAACGCGTTCCACGGATCGACGTTTAATGACGGACAGTACGTTTCTTTTCCCGGCTGAATAGGAATCGGATATTTACCGTTCGCCCCGTAGACGGGTTAACAATGAAAGCACGCTACGCGTTATTATCTCCAAGGGATAGAGGAACACGATAGACGTGTGTTAGAGAGTATGCGCTAGTCAACAATACTAGTTGGCCACTTCGAGGCCAAGGAACAACCGGTTATTCTGCATTTCCTTAAAGCGAGACTCGCTTCGGGCGGTCGGTCGACGTTCTTACTATGTTCCATTGACTTTTTTGCCGGGGCAATTTGGCGCAGTAACAATGGCAACTGGCGACTATTACCGTGATGACCCAGGTCTCGGTGTGGGTGGTTGAACATATTTCTATTTATCCAGCTGTTCGTGAAATCTATTTCTAGACTCCGCGTTCGATGCCTGTCATCCGACACATCTGACAGCGAATAGCTCGTAATCGTGGTATCAGCGTGAACACGCAGGGAATATTCCAGAATATTCGTTCGTAGGTTCCAAGAGAATCCTACGGAACTGTGGACATATCTCAAAATACCTCTGCACCACGTTCGATGCTTGTCATCTATGTTTGACAGCGAGTAACATTGATCGCGATATCGACGCGAAGACAAGGAGAATATTGGCAAATATCGAATTCCTGAGCACTATACGAAACTGCGGAGATGTGAGAGTAGCCTTGTACCTCGTTCGCCAAGGTGTCGCAGGAAGAGGAACGAAAGGCGTTGCAAGAGAAACGAGATTTCCGTCGTGGGCACCGACCGGGGTAGTCAAATGCGTCTGGTCCCGGCTAGAAAGTCGAATGAACCGTCGAATGCCGTGCATACTTGCTGAAATACCGCGAAATACTTCCGCGAAAGTGGCCTGAAGTACCTTGGAAAATTACGTCCACCGGCTGACAGAGCGATGTATCGATCCCCGCGTGAAAGTGCATATCGAAAAGGGGCAGCGTGCCGGCTGCTTGCAACACCTTCTTGCACTTTCAAGCTCCAAGGACATTGGCAACAATCTTGTCCCCGGGTTTTTCGCGTTCCCGTCTTTCACTTTCGCGAATTCGCGTTTCTTCCTTCGCGGGTATCTTCTGGGATTGTCCGCGGATCCTTGGTGCGTCAGTGAAGCTATTGACAGATTCCATTTTGGTGAACTCAGTGAAGTAACTGGACGATAATCTCTCGCGGATATCACGGATGTTCGGATGTCTAATTTCTGAGGATCGGTATGATTAACTTTCTAACTGCTGTGTATACATGGCATCGGTATAGGAGTCATGGTCGTGTTTGACACGTGTTTGACAAATGATCCGACTGTCTTATCTGATTCTATATAATAGAAATCTGTGATAATCGATTGGTGTTGTATACAGCAAGCGAAGTAGGAATAAATGGTAGAATCGCTATAATAATTGGTAATCTATCTTCATTTATAGGAAGTTCGGTGCACTTTAGTATTCCAAGGATTAAGCGATCGTGTTTTATTGACAGTAGACGAGAAATCGTTAGGTTTCTTTCCAGGAAAATACTTCAGTCATTGTTCGCTTGAGAAGCTGTTTTACTTCCACGTGATAGGAACTAGTGGCGAGTTACAATAAACAGTTACGCCAGCGTCTGATAATAAAAAAGGGATAATGGGATCTGGATCTTTCGCAATTTTATGTACGCGACAACCGCGAATCGCAGTCGAACAGCTGAACTTATTGTTAGTATCGATTATTTCTCGGTGTGTTGGTGTCCCGTGTATTCGATTCCTTGATGCATTGTCGTGCATTGGTAGCGGAGTCTAGTTCAACGCTGTCCCATTATAGATAGCGATGCACAAAGGCGTAGAAGTGAGACACTTATAATTAACTTTCCATGATTCCACCGTCGCATTTCAGTTCCACTAATTGCGCAATTACTATTAGTATACGTTTAATAATAATAATGATTCCATCGTGTAACGCTGTGATACCCATTCTATAAATACCCCCTAATAACGAGCGAGACATTTCCTTTCTCTAATTGCTTAACAAATTAACAATCTCCCCTTCGTGCGAGCGACTAACGCTTAGAAATTCGACGAGAAAGGGTGGATCGAAAATTAATTCCATTGTGCTGCCGTAATTGATGTTAGAAAATATCCAAGGAAACACGGTTCTCCATAAAAAATGATCCGAGTCGTTAAAGTTGGTCTCGAAATGAATAATGAAAATCTCCCCTTCTCTTGCTGCACGAGGAACTCTAAACTAGCGTAAGAAAGAACGCTTTCAATTCATCATCATAGCACCATGAAGGATTCGAGAGTTCATTAAAACTTCGTAACGGGATCGGTTTCTGTTTACTACGACAGAGCAAGCCGCCAGAACGTTCATATCCTTCCGTGAATCGTGTTCCCCCGTAATCGTAATGCGGCGACGCCAATGGAATTGCAACTGCAAACTCAGGCAACTCGGTATCCGGTTAAGTCTCACGTGAGTGGCTTTCGCGTCTTATGTGAATTCGCGCGAATCTTCCTTTTTTATCGTGCATTCTCTCCGGAGATCGGGTCGCAACCGTCGAGAAAATCGGGCAAAAAGTGGCTGGAAGAAAGACACTGCCAAGAAACTTCTAGCACGATGGATCAAAACAGCCAACTTCGGAGGACTTCTCTTTCGTTCAACAACGAATGGTTGTGAGAAGGAGGAACTCGAAGCAGATCCGTCGATAGCCCTTTTTCTCCGAATAATTTCGCGTCTGGTATCTTGGCAGATGCACCGATGGACGCGGCAGGGGATCATCATGCCGGTATTCCAGTGAGTCGTCGAAAATTGGAACCGTCCTCCTCGAACTTGGCTGCCCCCTCGGACACAGTGAATCCAGTTTGCAACGATGGCGACTGCACGGACGAGCTTTATCTCGATTCGAGGATGGAACTGGACAGATGTTCCGCGACATACCAGTGTCAGAAATTTGTCACGGAGTCGCACGATGTTCCTGCTCAAAAATCAAGGTTACGCTGGAAGGAAAGTGTCTTCGACTGCAAGGACGAGGATGCACGCTTGTGCTCGACGCAGGACGACTTGGTCAAAAGGCATTACGGAACGAAGAGAGAGGCGTTGAAGAATTTAATATCGACTTCTGACCGTCAAGATTTTAGCGATGACGTTGTCGAGGAATCCCATGATGGCTCGACTGACTACTCCAAGGCCTCGTTCGCGTTGCCTCGAGAGTTTTTTCGGGTCTATCCGAGGGATGACGACGACAATGACAGTAGCAGGTTTTCGAGGAGGCAAGCTACAGGGAGGAGAACGAGGTCCAACGAGGCAACCTTGAGGCCGAAGATAAAGAGGACGCCGGAAACCTTGGCGTACCTCTGCATTCTTGTAATCGTCGAAAATGTAATGCGGTGCGAAAAAATATCCGAAATTATTCCTACGAATGCTAGCATTAATATTATTCTTTAATGTTAAAAAGAATAATCATAAATGGTAAATAATAATTGGTAATCGAGGATGGAGTCACAGATTAAATTATCGTTTAGAGATTTACGCTGACCGCGAGAATAGCTCGTTAATCGATCTTGCTATGTTTCAGCCTCAAATCTTCACCCTCACTAATCTGAATGGAGTGAAACCAAGGCAGGATCTTGGGCAAAATGGAGTCGAAGATATGATCCAGTTGACGTGAGTTTTATACTGAGTATTTTATAATTAGGCAATTATCTCGAGCATCCAAATAAAATAAAAATTGTCAAATTAACGAAGTAAGGAAAGTATTTAATGATACTGTGATTAAAATTGCAGTGACTTGAACGAAGCTTCTCTATTATGGAACCTGAAGATTCGATACGACAAGGAGCTAATATACGTACGTTTTCTACTATTTTCTACTGATATCTTTCTCCCTCGATTTGGAATGTTATTAAGATCCGATTAACAATTTTTAAAAACGACAGACCTATACGGGAAGCATCCTAGTGGCGGTGAATCCTTATAAGATGTTCGACATTTACGGCCTGGACCAAGTAAAACTCTACGAAGGACGAATACTTGGCACCTTGCCTCCGTAAGTAACAAACATCCCATTTATAACCAAAGTGTCAAGAAAGTAATGAATTCAATCTCGTACGGAGACACGTACAGTTTCAATTTTACGGAATAATACTTCTTTTCTCATTTGTACAATACGTTTTTTTCTATCGTACCATACGATATTTTATATTAATGGAACGAATTTCACGATGCAATTGCAGTCATCTGTTTGCCGTGGGTTCGTCGGCGTATAGTCAAGTGACTGCAGCAAATAACGCCAGCGCGAATCAAGTGGTTGTTATTTCCGGTGAATCCGGTTCGGGAAAAACGGAATCCACGAAACTCGTAATGCAGTATCTAGCCGCTGTTAATCGTGCACCGAACAATCTCGTTACCGAACAAATTCTCGAGGCGACGCCCTTGCTGGAGAGCTTCGGCAACGCGAAAACTCCGAGGAACGATAACAGCAGCAGATTTGGCAAATACCTCGAAGTTTATTTTAGAGAGTAAGTATCGAGAAATTTAATCCTCGCTACAATAAATTCCAACTTGGTTGCAAAATTCGAGAACTTCTTCTCTTTGAATAACAGTATCAAAGAAGCAGATATACCCATTTACTGTCGTGCACAGAACAATTATCCGAAGCTTTTGTTTCAATTGATAAAATATTCGTACTGACTCTGAATTATTTTCAGTGGAGTCATCGTAGGAGGAAGAATAACCCAGTATCTCCTAGAAAAAAGTAGAATAGTCACGCAAGCACCAGAAGAAAGGAACTATCACGTGTTCTACGAGCTCCTGGCCGGTCTCGACCAGCAACTCAGGGATAAGTATGGTTTGCTGACCCCGGATAAATACTTCTATCTCAACCAGGTTACTAACTCTTACAAAACTGAAACTAACATCGTATAATGTATGTGTAAATCACCCGAGTCAAACGACTTCGATTTACCAGGGTGGAAACTGCGAGATCGATGGCAAGAGTGACACCCAAGACTTCAAAGCCCTTCTATCAGCGATGCAAGTGCTAGGCTTCACGTCCGAGGAACAAGACACTATTTTCAAAATCCTCGCCAGCGTTCTACACCTTGGAAACGTGTATTTTCATCGGAAGCAGATGAGGCATGGCCAAGAGGGTGTCGAAGTCGGTTCTGACGCCGAGATTCGCTGGGCGGCTCATCTCCTTCAAGTCAACTCCGATGGAATCATTAGAGCACTCACGACCAAAACGACGGTAAGTCGGTGGAACGAGTCGATGAACACTGTTCAGGACTTGCATCTCATCGAAGGATAATCGAAGAATAATCGAAGGCTAATGGAAGCATAATCGAGTTCGTTCAATTTCAGGAAGCAAGAAACGAGAGAGTGTTCACGGCGCTGAACATAGACCAGGCTCTGGATGCCAGAGACGCCTTCGCCAAGGCTTTGTACAGTTCCTTGTTTTCCTGGTTGGTCGCTCGCGTTAATCACATAGTGTACAAAGGGACCAAGCAGACAGCCGCGATCTCGATACTCGACATATTCGGCTTCGAGAATTTCACGGAGAATAGCCTGGAGCAACTGTGCATCAATTACGCCAACGAGAACCTACAGTTCTATTTCAACAAGCATATCTTCAAGCTGGAGCAGCAGGAGTATGCGAAGGAAAAAATCGACTGGACGACGATTAATTACACTGTGAGTGCAAGTTGCCGGATCTTGACGATTAATCGGTCCGATTATTTTTGTAAATAAGTCGCTGAATTTTGTATCGCGGAAGATACGATTCTTAGCTTTCTCGATATCGATACTCGGTGTAGGATAATTAATCGTTTCTTCCGATTGCTCCGGGGAACTAAGGAAATTTTCGTTCGATACACAGGATAACCTACCGGTGATACACCTTATCGCCAAGAAACCAGTCGGGATTCTCCACCTTCTGGACGACGAGAGCAATTTTCCTAAAGCGACTGATCTCTCCTTCTTAGAAAAATGCCATTACAATCACGCCTTGAGCGAATTGTACTCGAGGCCGAGAATGAACTCCGCGGAGTTTGCGATTAAACACTATGCTGGCCAAGTTTGGTACAACGTCGAAGGTTTCTTGGATAAAAACAGAGACACGCTGAGACCAGACGTGGTGGAGTTATTGATAAGCAGCAAAATATCCGTGAGTTGTTCTCCATTTCAGGAGTAGGATGCTTCGTTAGGAGACTCGTTAAAACTTTGATCAATTAACGATTCCTTTTCAGATGGTGAGCAAGATGTTCCAGCATGTAAGGACCACCCACGAGGCTAACAAAACCATGAACAAACCGAATGGTAGATTCGTAACCATGAAACCAAGGACTCCAACCGTGTCTGCTCGTTTTCACGACAGCTTGCAGCAGCTTCTGGATTCCATGTCTCAGTAAGAATGTTTCAAATTTCTCTCAAACTTGAGACATTACTCTGTTCGATGTTCTACTTCTTGGTCAGGCAATGGGGTATTAGAAAAAATTATGCAATTTCGTGCGAGGTTCGTACAAGACTTTCACGAACAAATTTCTAGCGTTAATACGATAGCATTGAGCAGAATTTAAAATTTAATGAGATTTCACTTCCTCGAGTTTCTATACGAAATTTGAAATTCATCTCCCGGATGAACCACAGTTCTTACATTTTACAGTTCTTCGAACCGTTCCTTGGTCGTTTCAGATGCAACCCGTGGTTCGTAAGGTGCATCAAGCCGAACACGGAGAAGGCGCCAATGAAATTCGACATGCCCTGTGTGCTGGAGCAATTACGGTACACAGGGATGCTCGAGACGATTCGTATTCGAAAAACTGGTTACCCGGTCCGACTTCTTTTTGGACATTTCGTCGACCGATACAGATACCTGGTTTCCACGCACCTGCCTAGAGGAGCGCCGAATAAGGAGCTTTGCCGCATAATTTTGGACAAAGCTGCACCGAAGGAAGCGCAGTCTCAGTATCAGCTTGGTCTTACTAGAGTATTTCTGCGGGAATCCTTGGAGAGAACGTTGGAATACAATAGAGCACTGATTTTGGAAAGGGCTGCCATAACTGTACAAAGGTAATATAAATTTCAATCGTGACAAAAATTATCACTGTGAATATTTACAAGAACATTCATTATAGAAATTTTTGTAACCGACTAATTACTTTACTAATTAATTAAAGATATGTAGCGTATAATTATAACTATTATCCGACTATATAGATATACCAGAGGGTTCCTTGCAAGGAGGAGGTTCCTCAACATCTCAAGAAGCACCGTGCTGATCCAAGCTGTTTATCGCGGCTATCGCGAGAGGAAGAAGTTCAAGTTGTTGAAGAAAGGTGTACTCATGGCGCAGAAGATATACAGGGGAAAGAAGCAGCGTGAAAAGTTCACAGTGCTGAAAGAGGAGATGGCGAAGAGAGCGGAAATCGAACGTGCCAGTAAAGAAAGAGCTAAAGCGAAGCAGCAGAGAGAGGAACAAGAAAGGACATCTAGAGCTGTGGCCGGTGTTAATCACTTGCTGAACTTGCCTTCATCTATAGCAAACTCGACGGTATATACTGAAACAACATTTAATTTTATTAGAATAATTAGATTTGGAATTAAATAAGGAGCGAAAATTTCAAGAAATTATTCATTACCATTAACAGTTCGTATGCCTATCGTTCCAGATTGGCAGCCCACGCACACGGAGAGGAACCTTCTAAAAGTGGTCGGTCAAGTGATACCCATGCACCACAATTACAGTCTTCCAAACGACATCGATCAACATCAATTCTCCAAGTTCACGAACATCTACTTCAAGAGTCACATCTTTGGCATGAAACGGGAACCTATAAAGACACCGTTCCTGGCGAAGGCTCGAGATCAAGATTACACGGACTCTCTGATGATCTTCAAGATGATCCTTCGTTTCATGAACGAGAACAACTTGAGCGGCAAGAGGGAACAGGCATTGGGTGATTATATCGTGAACAAAGGAATCGTCAACGAGAAACTGCGAGACGAGATCTTATGTCAACTAGCCAATCAAACATGGAAGAACGAAAACGACGCGAATAAGGAAAGAGGATGGCTGCTGTTATCGAACTGCCTGTCAGCCTTTCAGCCTAGTCCCACTCTGTTCAAGTATCTTCTTAAATATGTATCTGATCATGCATACGACGGCTATAAAGCTTATTGCCAGAGAAAACTTTTGCAAGGAGAGAGAACTATATTTAGAATAATGAGTAACAACCAACAAATCGTTCATCATATACCGAGGAACTACCCTCCTTGCGTATTGGAATGGAGAGCTAATAGAAATCGTGTTCACATGGCTTTAGGTGTAGGATTTTATGACGGTAAGTTGGCTTCGAATTAAACAAAATTGACACATCCTTGGTCTCGTATCATCCAAAGATTTTTAATTTCTCCCTAGACACGACAATACGTATGTCGAAAGTGAAAATACGTTACATTACACCCCTGTACGTTAAGGCTATTTTACAAGTGAAAATTATTATTAATTATCAATTATTAATTGCTTTCAGGTGAAACGGTCACCTGTGCGGTGGACTCTTGGACAACCTGTGAAGAACTAGCTAACCTAGCCGTTCATAATCACGGTGTCGACAATTCTGGATGGACAATTACCTTGTGGAATCAATTGGATGGCCCAGACGCCATTGTAACAGAGACCAATGGCTTCGACTATGTCTTAGATTTAATTTCAGAGATGGAACTAGCACCGGCCTTCCCTGCTGCTAAACACATGTTCCTGGAACAGCGAAAGAACAGCTTCCCCCCTATTAAAAAGAGAGAAGTGAGTACACAAGTGTTTGCAGTAATCAGTTTTACGGCGCTTAATGGTACAATAAAATTCACCGTGGTTTATTTAGCACGCTCACATAATTCGAGAGCTAGAGCAGGAAATAGAACCACCGGTTCTAAAAACGTTCCAGCCCCTTGAGCGGAAACCAGTACCGAAGGTTATGGATAAACCTGTCGAACCAGAAATTCAATCGCCGAGAAGACCGGCTGTTCCTCCACCGCAGCCGCCTGTCACGAAGCCATCGGTAAATTACATTTTCTTAATTTGTTTAAGACTATTCGTCCACGCAATAAATTATCCCTGCGATACCAACAATTTTTCCCCGACTTTTTAAACCTGCAAATCGTGGAAAGTGAAGATTATGAACTTCGAAGAACCAAACTTAGACCGACGGTCTAAGAGTACTCGTTCAACATTTATCAACTGGTTCGCAGGTACGGAAACAATCTCACGAGGCTATGTTAGAGAGCACAACGGAGACTGGTCTGTCGCGCAAATCCGCTCTGAACGACAGATACTTCGAGAAGGAGAAGCAACGTAGCCGTAGTCTGGACAATCTGCTTCAACCCGAAGTGGTGTCCTCTCCGGTGAAATTAGCTACCCTCGGATTATCCTCGTCGAAATTGAACGAACGCTACCACAGCCTGGAAAGAATCGGCGAAACATCCGCTGTGAGCAACGTGGAGTATATGACGAGGAACGAAATCGCGCAGGAGAGAAAGTACAGCAGGATCACCAGGACAACCGAACCGAACATCGAAGAGGAAGACTTGACGATCGACTTCGAGTATCCTGACATCCAATCGGTTAGTCAAACTGGAAGGTCTGAAGATGACAAGAGTAGTTACATCAGGTCGCAGACTAGGTTTATCAAATCTCAATATCCTGGTGAGTAATATCAAGTGGTGGATGAAGGGAAAAAATGTTTGTTTAAACCAAATCGATGTTTAGATCTCTAAAGGGGTTATCTTGTCGTTAGGACGAATAAAAGTAATTATTTCTCTAATTGGAAGGTAAACGAGCACTGCCAGGTAGCCAATCGAGTCGTGCCTATATCGAGAAGAGCGAATACGGTGTCAAGTCCTCGGCCATGTCTGACACGAGCGAAGCTCCTTCCCTGGCGTCGCACGTGAGACGAGTCAGGGTACCTAGTCAAGCGTCAGACGTGGATCAGTTCCTGGACGAGCTGTTTATGCCGGTTCTGGATGGGAACTTGGACGAGTTGTCTGACGCCAGGAGCCTGGCTGCTAGTATTAAAGGTACAAAGGATGACAGGTCACAAAGCGGTGCCATAATCCTTGAGAATTTAGAGAAGCACTTGGAGAATCAGGGACAGGTAAAAGAACTGAAAACTGTGGAAGATTTCATCGAAACGATGATAAAGCGCGACGAGAATGAAATCATCACAGCGAAAGAATTATCTGCGAAGATCAAAGGCGGCGGAAATATGGATATACCGAATCAGAACGCGAGTTTTAACTTTGGTGGCATTACGCCGGGGATGATGTCGCCGCCGATGATGATGCCGATGTTCAGTGCACCGCAGCAAGTGCCCCCAGCGCAGAGTACCAATATGAACATGGGTCCTGGATTCATGCCGATACCGATTTACAGCATGCAGGGGCTGAGTCTTCCACAGTACCCGAATTCACCGCCTAGTCAGAACAACGACATGATGGCTTATCAACAGAACTTGCAGAGAGCGTTTCTGCAGAGTGCCATGGCGCAGAATATACAAATCCAACAACAGTTGTTGGCGCAAAATCAGGCCTTGCAACAGCTGCTTGTGCAGAGTCCTCAAAATTCGTCGCAGCAGCCGGTGAGAAATTATTTGCCAGATAGTAATCACCAACAATGATATAATGAACATTGAAAAATCTTTTAGACTATTTTCTGGGACAAATAACTTTTTTCAAATTTATTTTCACTGCATTTGGATCGCATCAAAAATAGCATCAGAATTTGGTGACTGTCAAATGTTTTCTATCGTACAGTTATGAAGATTTTACGAAAATGACTCCTGAATGGAATTCTGAATTTTCACTATAATTCTAGACGAAAGTATAATTCTTCCAACCTTGTCCCATGAAATAATCACAAGAACATAAAGCAAACACGTCCCGAACACACGATCACGATACACCGTGTAAAGACAGGATACACTTCGATACTTGATTAAATACTTTTCCCCATACACAGCATTATCTTATCGCACAATAATACTGACGGATGTCGTAACATCTGCATAAGCTGAGAATTGCATGTTAAATGTCATCACAGCGAATGGATAGCCGTCATTTCGTGCGTCACTTTCACGATCACATAACTAGTACTAACACGATCGGTATTGCGCAACACTGCACGAACAGCTTCAGTGTTTGCGATCACTCACGATAGAAATCATGTCCTTCCGGGACAATCCTGTGGGTTTCTGAGCCGCATCGCGGCATGGGTGTGTGTTTCCAGGGCACGGTGTTGTCCGCAGGCCCCTCCAGTATGAATCTTGTCCCCCCAGCCCCCCAAAACGGTGCCCAAATGGGGCCCAATGATTCTATTGGACGCTACTCCAAGGTACCTACTCATTTCATCTAACGAATAAAACTGTCGATCGAGTCGCGTCGGTGATTACTTGGACTGATTTAAGTTTCTCGATTGATCGATTTCTCGAAAACGCGAGTTATAAATGTTGTAACATACGTTGACAAAATTAACTGGTTATGGGACGAATTCGATAAGTCGAGTGGTACAGTGGTGTGGGAGAATGTGGGTTCAAGAAACACTCGTTGATCAAACAGTTTGCTGATAATTTCGTATTACGAAGCATAGTAATTAAATTTGATGATTGTTTGAGTAGTTAATGACTGGCACAGTTTACGAGGAGTAGTCTGTAATTACTCGCTGCTCATATTAGAAGGTCGTATTACGACGGTCTAAAAAGGAGATAAAATCCATCCAATGATGAGTCACTTTCCTTTGCAAGTCAAGAATCGCGTTTGCCTTTCTCTCATACACGTGAAAAATGTTATTTCCAAAGAACTGAGAAAGAACGCTAGAAGTGCGCAAGATTCATGTGAGTCTACAATTTTTCACAGCACTGTACATAGCAGCACAGAAAAAGATCATTTCGGGCATGTCTGTAATTCGTTACGTTGTAAAATACTTTAGAAATGATTCAGAACTTGACTAAATACCATCATATTTAGAGAAATGTACCGTAGAATTTTTTCCAATTACCAAAGGGACGAAAATCATAGAACGAAATGCGAAATTATTAGGTATCCTTTCGAGAGCCAGAGGATGGCGAACTTTGGTCGACAGAGAAACAAGGGGCGCCAGCACAGTCATCGGCTAATAATCAGCGGCAGGAAATGACGGTGAAAGCTCAAATTCATCGATCCCAAAGTCCACCGCGGAAAAACTCTGAGAGTGTCAGGAAAACTAGCGTGGAATACGCGGTGAGAAAAGTTAGCGTCGACAGAAAAGTTGGTGACAAGAAGTCATCGACTGTCACGGATCCTAAGAGGCCAAACACGAACAAGAACAACGTACAAAGCAATTTCACGAACGTGTTGAGCGAATTAAAAAATCGTAAGAGCAGCGTGGACAGTAATTTATCGAATTCGAGCAACAACAAGGGTGTACCACCACCGCCGCCGATGCCACCACCCCTGGAATCTCACGATCCTTCGGAATCGAGGCCTTTCCTCGACCCCTATGGCAGAGCAAAGACAGTTCGAATTGGCAAATGGAGGTGAACTATTTAAATCACCGAAATCGCATTAAATTTCTATTTCTTCTCGACCGTGTCACTGACAATTGGTCTTCGAACTTATTTCAGATGGCCTCCACCGAGTGACTCGAACGAGAATCAGAGTCAAGACAGCTTCATAGAGTTCAAAATGCGTCAGCAGCAACAGCAGCGTAAGATCACGCCTCAGTATCAAGAATACAATCAGGGTGACGGTGAACCGATCACAGAGGGTGGTGTAGAGTGGGAGGAATTTGAAATTGAGAATATCGTGGAAAATAACGAGAAGGCAGTGGTGACTCATGCACCGCCTCCACTTATCAAACACGAAAATGGATATAAAGAAGAAGGGGAAAAGAAGAAGAAGAAGTCAAAGTGCGATGGTTTTCCTAATTACGTAATTTTCTATCAAGCTTAATGACGATCCTCTAACGTTTGACCGATGTTTCCTCAGATCTGGATTAGAGGTAGGTGCACAGAGGCCATCTCCGGGAAGTATAGGGAAACTGAAGCTCAGTTCAGAAATGAGGCAAAGATTGGAAAAGGTAACGGCAAATCATAGCGTGAGATCCACGAAAACCACCGAGAAACCTGCTCTTCCACGCGAAGATGGTAAAGTGAAACGCTTAGAGGACAACAGGAAACTTCTTCTTGAACAGCAGTTAGGTAATTTCTCAGCAGATTCGATAATTGAAAAATTAATATGCATGATTTAGTAATATTCTTTGGCATCCTAAAGGAGGACGCTGGGACGATTATGCATCCACGGCTGATGACACGCAAAGCGTGACTTCGAAAGGCACGACGGACATGATGACTCAAGCGCAAGTTGTCAGAACGCAGATCGAAAGAATGGAGAGGCCTGTGCCACCTCCGCTTCCGGTCACACCTCCGCAACCCCCAAGTCCACGAGGTGGAAGCATGTACAGCAATAGGTATTCTCCTCTGTCTTTTTATCATCGCTTGTTACCATGCTTAAAACACTACATTTCTATTTCTATGAGTTCATCATTTCACTATGCTTGAACGCTTAATTCGGTACCGCGTTAATTAAAAATTCAGAAATCAGAAATAAATCCAATTTCGAGTTCTAATGATTTCAAAAGTAGATTAATCCCATCTGTATTAACTCTGCCCAGTCAATCGGGAGTACCACAACCCAGATCACCTCCAGCCCCAGTCGAACCAAAAACACGAGATTCCTTCAGAACATCCCCCGACTCGGAGGCCTTCGATCACTTTACCAAGACCCAACGCGACATGTTCAGCCAAAGCCGAGACATATTTGCATCCCAGCAGCATCTGAGAGAAAATCACGAGTACAGAAACGACTTCGACAAGTCCCGATCTCAGGATCAGAAGTCCAAAGACTTTTATGGAAAGGACAGCACAGACATAGCCAGTTCAGCCAGAGACAGAAGTTCCGACTTTGACTCTCGTCGTGACTTGAACTCAGACATCTTCGATCCGAAATACGCTAGGGATATATTCGAGAACTCGAATTCTAAGAGAGATCCATTTGGAATGACCAGAGACGTGTCGCCAAAATCGAGAGACAGCTTTGGTATGCCATCATCGCGAGACTTTGGTCTAATGCCGAATACGAGGGAATCCTTCGCGGCTGCTCGGCAAAGTTTCAAGAAATTAGATCGAGACGTTGACAGGAGATCTAGCGTTGCCTCTACTCATCGTACAGACAAGATGGAGAGGATCGAGATCGAGGAATGGCCCGAGTTCCTCAGACCAGTAATGCCACCAGCGGAGAAGCCAGAGATAGAAAAGGTCCAAGAGGTAGTGAACACTAAGCTCTATCCTCAGACGTCCACTGCTCATTTCACGTATAACAGAGTCACCTGGACGCTGAGGGTGAAGAAGGAAGTGTTTGCACCTAACGAAACCTTGAACAGCCCTCTGGCCCTTCATCTGGTATTCTGTCAAGTTGCTTACGACGTTCTTGCTACGTCTAGCATCCGAATCACGAAAGACGATAGGCAAAATATGCTAAAGATGTTGGACAATTATGGCATCACTCTGGATAATCTGCAGAGCACTCAGCACAAGATCACTATCAAGAAGAACGTCGTGGACATGGCCAAACAATGGCCACTGTACTTCGCCAGGATATTCCCAGTATCGGTAGGTTCAATAATTTGCTATCGATTAAAGTATACCAAGTTTGGCAAGATCGTTTCGTATTTACGTCAGTTGCGGCTAGTTATACGTAATAATCACCTTGCATGGTATTTATACATGGTTAATCACACGTTTCGGCATTC